GCTGCCTCGATCCGCTGCTTTGGCGCCCTCAACCACGACCCCGGTTGCCGTTGCCGCGCCCTTGTCCGCGTCCAAAGCCACCACACTGCCCGGAGGAGGAACCATCACCATATTTGCTGCCAAAAAAATGTCCCCCACTACCGGAGTTGCTGCCGTGAGGAGAGCCGCGCCCGCCAGTCCCGTCAGGCTGTCCGCCTGCGTAGCTGCTCCCGCCATGCCCCGCTAGCAGCGCCGTGTTGCTGTTGCTGCCCAAGGGGGTCCGTTGTCGGTCAAGGAGGAGGAGGGCCGACCAGACTTGGAGGAAACTTGGCATGGGATCTTGAAATTGAAGGAACGAGGTCTGAGCTTGGAGATCTTCGGGGAGGCCGCGTAACATCTGAAGAATCAATTGGTGCTCTAAAACGGGGGCGTCAACGTCGTCCAGCCAATCCACAATATTCCGGAGTTCTTGACAATAAGAGGCCATGGGGGTGGATCCCTTGACTGTGGTACGGAATTGGTGCTCGAGCTGCATGGCGCGAGCATGCTTGTTGTCGTGAAACAGATCATGAATCATCTTCTAGAGAGCAGAGGCAGAGGAGGCGGAGGTCAGAACCAGATCAGAGACTTCATCAGTAATAGTGGAAAGAATTCAGCCTTGGAGAATGGCGTCAAATTGGTACCATTCATCATCATCTTTTGAGGTAAGGACAATAGATTCGTCAAGGTAGCCGTGGAGGGTGAACCGCCGGGCAAGGAGGAGGAACAAGCGGCTCCACTTCTTGTAATTTGGTTGAGAAAAACTGAGTTGAATAGGGACATGTAATTTGACATTAGAAAAAGAGAAAGCCAGATGTGGAGATTTTTGGGTGGTAGATTGAGAGGTGACCTCGCTTTCGGCCATGGTAGAGAGAGGAGGAGTGGCCGGCCGTGCTAGAGAGAGGGAGAGTGGCAGCGGCGTTGGTGTCTCGGCGAGGGAGGAGGGAGGCCGAAAGCCAGAGAGGGAAAATTAGGGTTTTTGGTTAAGCTCTGATACCATGAAGAAGAATTATTTTCA